ATAGTTGCTCTTACAGACTGTTGAGTGGGATTGCCATTTTGCAAAAACACTTCTAGAAGGCAGTTTGGCAGGACTGATCAAAAGCCTTGATACTTTTTCTTATGCCCACAGGACTCTTCCATCGAGATACCTGGAACTTCAACGGACATGCATATTTGTGAAAGCGTTTATTGCAGCATTATTTATAGCAGCAAAATTGGTAGTCACAAGAGAATACTTAAGCAAGCTATGTTATGTCCAAATGATAGAACGATGAACAGGCATTAAAAAGTCATAAGGATTGAGTAGATATATAAATGTGTTAATAATGCTTAGTCTTTAATAGTAGGATGACCCATACACTGCTTTTATTTGGAAGGCTGAGTTACAGAGAGAGACAGCAGGGCCTTCCACGCCCTGGCTCAGTCCCTAAATGGCTGCGGTGGCCAGGGCTGAAGGAAGAAGCGAGGGGCCCAACTGTGTCTCCCCTGTGGGTGCAGGGACCCAGGTACTTGGGCCATTTCCTACCAATCCCTCAGGAACACTAGCAAAGAAATATGTAGAGATATGCTTTTCAAAACTTAAGCATTATGCCCTTTCTTTTGCTTATCACGGTTAGTCTCAGAGATGAGAAGTGTTGGTCTGTTTTTGCAGTGAAATGCACTTAAAAAAAAAATATGTTGAAGACAGTATGTCTTCCTCCAGAAGCTTGAAAGTCACTAGACCCAAACGAATGAATACCCCACCCCCATTTTTCATACAAAATTGGAAAGATGCTTCAAGCTGTGCTTAATATTATGTTTGGCACCACACTGAGTGTATCGCAGACACTTTAGAAGGAATCCTATTGTGAAAGCAAATGCAAAACAGAAGTAAGCTGAATTTCATTTTGAGGATTTTTACAATTTAAATTCTCTTTCTGCAAGAGATTTCAAAACAGCCAATTCGGAGCTTCTCCAGAAAGCTTAACAAAGACCGAAGCATATCACAACGTAGCAATGCAGACAGGAGACCGTCCTTAGGTGGTTGTGCCTTTCCGGCACTTGATGTAACTATTCACAGAATCTGGAAACATTATTTTTAGTTCAATCCAGGAGCTTCAGAATTTGGGGTGCTTTTTCTTTTCTGCTGGCCTCAGGTAGCTTCAAAGGCAAAAAACAACACATACAAAACAAAACTGGAAAAAAAAATTGCTCATATTCCTGGTTAATACAGAATCATTCACCGCTGGGAGTGAGATACCCAGGTGAATTCTCGTTTGGAATAATTCATCTGTGAAATTCGTCCAGATAGCCAGCGAGCATTTTTTGGGTATCCCGGGGATCGCAAGGTGCTCTCGACTCAGGATGCCCGACTAGCCAAAGATCCAGTTATCCTGGACCCGCCCAAGGTCCAGTTACGCTGGCCTTGCCTGCCTGGCTGTTCCCAGGCCAACCGAGGCATCGCTATGGCAACGGCGCGGCTCGCCAGCCCCAGTGGTCCAGAGGGGAGAGAAACGAAGAGCAGAAACCAGTGTAGGCGCGAGTGTCGCCATGACAACAGCACCACGCGTCGGCCACAGCCTGAGCGTGGAGCCCGGCCGGCAGGGAAGCCCCGCCTCCTGGCCTGCTGGAGTGTAGCCATGGCAACGACACCGCGCACCGGACCTAGCCGGAAGGCTGGGACACGCGAGGGCGGAAATCCCGGTCCTGGGCGAAGGGGGTGTTGGTCTCCGCCGCCGGGGGCGTCGCCACGGCAACAGCGAGGCCGGCGGGGCGGGGCCGGGGGCGGCGACAGGCGGCGCGGAAGTCCCCGCCCCCGGCCTGCTGGGCGGCGGCGACCCGGCGACCCGCAAGGATTTGAAACCGTTTGGAGGCGGTGGTGGCGGCGGTGGTGGCGGCGGCGGCGGCCGAGCTGAAAGCTTGCGTGTAGGGGCGCCAGGGTCTGGTTTCCAGCTCCTCACTCCCTCCACTCCCAGGTTCTCCAGTGGAATTTGGCGCGTGCCGGGGTCGTTCCGCGAGAGGGGCGTCGCTCCACAGGCCCCGGGCCCGTTCTCAGGCCTGTGGGGGCGCGCGCCCCGCATCGGGGCTGTGGTGGCGGGGAGGGTGGCCTGGGCACCGCCAGCTGCTGTCACTGCAGGGCGAAACCCAGGCCCGGGCACCGAGTGAGAAAGTTGGAAGTAAAGTTTGGTCAGCCCGATGGGACTGGTTAACTTGAAGGGGCCCTCCAGGGAGGACTCGCGGCTTGTGAGGAGAAGTCTGTGTCCCTGACAGGATAGGACAGCGGCCGCGGGCCTGAGTGCTCGTCCAAGTGTCTCCCGGGACAAAACCGGAGGCTGGCTGCTCAGGTTCTAGAAACAGTAGCGGCTGAACGAGTCCCCCTTGGAAAGGCCGTGCGCCAGCATCCTTCGCGGTGTTTCTTCAGTGTTGAGGAGCAGGGTTAAGTCGCAACTGTGTGCAAAGACAGACGGAATGAGGGGATAAGGGGAAAGGAGGTGCCGCGAGCTGCCCCACGGGGTGTGCACAGCCTTCAGGGCCGCCGGCCACTCCCCCGGGCCCGGCAGGTGCGTTGACTGCTCGCCACGCCCCTGGCACAGTAGGGGAGGGCTCCTGGTCAAACGTCAGCTAGTGCACCTGTCAGCCTCTTAACGGTTTGTTGTCATTGCAGGATTTTTTTTTTTTTAATGATCCACAATATATTTTGAATCTGAATTAACTCCCCCCGCCCCCGTTTCTTTTGCAACTTCAGTAACGTTGTGTTTGGCCACTAGCATGTTGTCTGTGCAGTGTTTTCTTTGTTGAGCATTTGTGTGTTTGTTTGTTTGTTTGTTTTCCTCCTCCTCCAAAGCCTTTGAGCGTCTGTAGCTTGCTCATGTTTGGCTCTGTGGAGCTAAACACCTTGAGAAGGTCTTAGCCCATTTTGTAGATGTCCTCGGAGAAATAGGCTTAACAAAAAAAGACACGATCCACTTCAGGTTATAACTAAGCAGGAACCAGCCGCCCAGTTTACTTATTTTTTTTTGTAACTAGACACGCTGTAAGGACTTTAAGCCTAAACCAGTGCTGTAGCTGCGTTTGTTTTTCAGTTCTGTTCATTTCATTCAGTCCTGATGAATTGTGTACAACTTTCAGATTAGGTAGAACTAAGAAGATAAAACTCGTGGATATACCATGTAACTTATATAACAAAAATTCCTGAGGGTTTGAAATATTAGCTAGTTTCTGTTTTTATCTTTTATTCCATTTATTTTGCTTGAGAATTAAAGAAGGGTCAAGAGAGGCAGGTTTTTAGCAAAACTCACTTGACCCTCTTGTGTCTTTTGTAAGCGTGGAGCAGCAGAGCTGAGTTTTTGTATTCTCCTTAGTTGCTTATTCATATGAATAGTTGCTGTCTTTTTTTTTTTTTAGGATTTATTCATTTTTATTTGAGAGGCAGACTTACAGAGAGAGGGGGAGAAATAGATCTTCCATCTGCTGGCTCACTTCCTGGCCAGAGCTGAGCTGAGCTGATCCAGGAGCCAGAAGCTACATCAGGGCCTCCCAGGTGGGTACTGTTCTCCCAGATGACGTCAGCAGCTGGGGCGGAGCCAGGCTGTGGCCCACCCCCAGGAGCTGGCCCGTCCTCTGCTGCCTTCCGGGTGCAGTCACAGGCATTTGGATTGAAAGTGGAATGGCTAGAATTCTGATAGCGGCTCACATGAGATGCTGGTGCAGCGGATGGCAACTTCACTTGTTGAGGCACAATTGGGCCCCATTTGCACAGACTTTGAAAACCAAGGGTGAGGAGGCCGGTGCCTTTGAGGGGCTTTGGAATATCTGGTAAAAGTCTTGAAAGTTTGTGGAGTAGGAAATGGCTCAAGGCACCTAATGGCTCAAGTGACATCATGAGCTATTTAGAAGAAAGAGGGATTTTTTTTTTTCCTGAAAGTTCTATGGTTAGAGAATAAAGGAGGGCATCAAGAGATTGCTGTGTTGCTGAGGATAAAGAAGGAAAATAAGTGATGGAGTAAGGAGAGAAAGTTTCAGAGGATCATAGGCTGTGTATCACAGTTGGAGCGTCTTAGGAGGGAAGTTTACAGGTGGATGTTGGAGAAGCAGCACCTGGATGGTGGCAGGGTGCGTCTCAGTAGTGTTTTCCTTCCTGGGCAAGGCTGGGTGGAGAAAAGATGGCCGCATGGACACATGCTAGAACCAATGAGAGACTGGCTGACTTCTGTGACTGCGAGGGAGCAACGACCTAGGTTACCCCAAGTGCCACGTTCAGAATGGTTTTGTGTGTGTGTGTGTGTGTGTGTGTGTGTGTGTGTGTGCATATATGTTTTTCATTTCACTTAAGTAAATATCTGGAAGTGTTTTGGTCTGGGTCACATGATAAACCTATGTCTAACTTTGTAAGAAGCTGTCAAAACTGTTTTCCAGGGTGGCGCCCCCTTCTGCTTTTCTACCAGCAATGCCTGTGGTTCTGGATCCTCATCAGCATCTGTTGGTGTGGTTGTGTGTGTGTGTGTATTTAAAGATTTATTTAGTTTACTGAAAGGGTTATAAAGAGAGGGAGGGAGACGGAGAGAAAGAGAGAAATTTTCTATCTGTTGGTTCATTTGCCCAGGACTGGGCCAATGCCAGGCCAGGCCAGGAGCTTGGAGCTTCTTCCAGGTCTGACGTGGAAGTCACCGGGCTGTTTTGGTTGTCTTGATGAATGTGCAGTGATATCTCTTTGTGCTTTTTTCCCGCCACTATGATGTTCATTTGCATTTTCTGTTCACTAATGCTGTTGAACATCTTTTCATGTGTTTACTTGTCATCTATATTTGTTATTTGGTAAAAAGGACTAAGCTGTTTGCTGATGCCTTTTTGTGACTGAATTGTGAGGGTTCTTGAGAGATCTTTGATATAAATTAAGTATGAGTGTATGACAAATTTTTTTTTTTACAAAACTGTAGCATATCTTCTCAATAATAGAGTACAACGCAGATTAGTTTAAAAAATAATTTTCAACATATGGATCCTTAATATTTTAACTTTTTCACAGATTGATACATAGACATGGGAAGCGAAGAAGAAAAATGGGAGAAGCTGGATGCAGAATTTGATCACTTTGTGGTTGATATGAAGCCCTTTGTCCTAAAATTACCCCACAGGTCAGGTAAGATTGTGTTTGAAAATTAGAGTCTTATAAAATTAATTAATTTGAGATAAAAATAGAGATCGAACAGAGGAAGAGACAGATGGTTTCTGGGGCTGGTCTGTCCTGAAGCCGACAAATGGGAATGTGAGCCACGGCTCTCATGGGGTACAGGAATTCAGTTCTTTGAGTCACCACCTCTGCCTCTTGGGTCCACACTGGCAGGAAGTTGGACTCTGGAGCTACAGCTGGGAATTGAACCCATATACTTTTGTGTGAAATGAGGGCATCTTAGGTAGGCTAGATGTCCGCTTCTGAAAATTGTCTCCTTCAGATGAACTGAGAAATATTATTCAAGTTAATGAACAACAAAATGGAAGGGAATTTGAACTATTTTAGTCACAATTTTTGCTATTCACCTGTTTATTTGGAGCTGTTCAACAGTAAGTAGAAATTAATGACAACAGCCTCTTAAGTGTAGAGATCTTGTGATATTGATTCGCCTTTGTTATGAATTCACACACCTGGATGTTTAAAGTTGGTTATAACTGTGTTTTCCAGCGTACTCTCCATCTCTGGGCAGTGTTTTCTCTTTTAGGAGCCTGCTGTTTACCTGCTGTCTGACCCTTTTGTTTATCAAAGGAGAAAAGAATTCTTTGGTCTTTTCATGCTTGCTGGGTTACTGGATAAAATCCAGCATGAAAGAGTTTGTTACTTGTCTGCAATTCCTGACCTGTTATTTTTGATTTGGTGTTAGAGTACTTGTCTCAGATTAGAGAATTTTCAAATGATTCAAGACATCAGAAGTTGGGAAACAAGGAGATTTTCTAAATTGTAGTAGGCACATAGGTGACTGATTTGTAGCTTTTGAGGTGAGTTTTCAATGTTCCAAGAAACAATGGCTTTTTCAAATTCCTTATATCCCTGTGCTCAGAGTGTAGGACTGATTGAACATTAGATATTCCAGCTCCCTGGTCTGGGAAAATTGGGTGTAGTAAGTTCTATGTGAGTTACATGTTCTGTGGCCACCCATTGTCCTAGGCTGCCACCTTTTCTAGTCCAGGACAGCTTGGTATGATCTTCTCAAGAATCCTGTTCCTCTTCCCTTGCCTGGACACATCTTTATCTCTTCTTTCTTCATGTGCTGTTCTGCAAATCAGTGTCACCTTCCATGGACAGTTATCATCCACAATTATTCAAGTTAGTATTTCATGATATTTCTTTGTGTGTGTTTTAATTAATTTATTTTTTGCAAGAGAGAGAGAGAGAAAGAGAGAGGAGAGAGAGAGATAAGCAGAAACAGAGAGATTTTCTATGGCTTGTTCCAGGTCAAGCTGAAGTCAGGAGTTAGGAACTTCAGCCTGGTCTCATGTGTGAGTGATAGGTACCCAAGTACTAAGACCTTCTTGCTCTGCTTTCCTAGGCATGTTGAAAGGGAACTGGAGTCAAAGCAGAGCATCTAGGACTCCGATATGGCATACTGGTGTTACAAGTAAAGGCTCATCTCACTGTGCCACAATGCTGGTCCCCTAAGTGATATTTCTAAATGGCATCCTCTTTGATAGTCAATAACTGCCCCCCTTTGGTCTTAAATCTGATTAGGAAAAATTTATGTTAAAACTAAAATTATCTGTCATAGAAATATGTTCTATTTCAAACTATTCTTATGTTTTATTTTCTCCTCAAATGCAACATATACTTGATTATCTTTGGTTCATGGCACATTGTCAGCTTGTATACATCACTGGCTCTCTTTTACCTGTTTCATAGTGAACGCTCAAGAACTCACATCCCAGTTTAAAAAAAAAACAACTAGAAATTCCTAATCATTTATGTGTTTTTATGGTTAAACTTTACTTTTAGATGACTTTAAGTACAAGAATAGATTCATGGGGGCGGCACTGTGATATAGCAGGCTGAGCCTCCATCTGTGGCCTTAGTATCCAGTATGGGTGCCGGTTCAAGTCTTAGTGACTCCACTTCTGATCCAGCTCCCTGCTGATGGCCTGGGAAGGCAGTGGAGCAGGGACCAAGTCCTTGGGTCCCTATACTCATGTGGAAGACCCAGAAGAAGTGCCTGGTTTTAGACCAGCCCAGCTCCAGCATTGGTGGCCATTTGGGAAGTGAAGCAGCAACTGGAAGATCTCTCTCTCTCTCTGTGGCTTTGCTTCTATCTCTGTACCTCTGCCTTTCAAATGAAATAAACTAAATCTTTTTTAAAAAAAGAATTCATTTTATAACAAAGCTGTAACCAGTCCTGAACATTAGAATATTGCTATGAGGATGTGAGGCAAATTTTATATAGTTTAAAAAACTGTACACTTAAAATTTATCAGTCTTACTTCTGCATTTTCTTTTTGTTCAAAGCATGTCCAATATTTTATGAAGTTCATGGTTATATAATTTTAAAGCAAATATAAAAGTATTTTTAGAGGGGTAGTTCTGATGACTATAGTAATATTTGCAAAGTGGTAAATCCAGCCTTAGTGGTTTTGCCAGGTTAAACAAAAAATGGATATGACCTTTGTAAACTAAGAGATTAGAGCAGGCTATGATTTGTATTAGATATGTAATCCTTAAATTGAGTTAGACTGATAAAAAATTAATACCAGAATAGTTTTCATGAAATCAAAAATAATCCTGGGTCATGACAAGATAATATAGTCAATAGGTCATTACATGTGGATTAAACTGTGCTATTTTTCTTAGGTAGATTTTTTAAAAGGACAATTACTTGATGAAATTACTTGTAAATAGCACTCAATTATTTTTAGAGATATTAAACGAAAACTGAATAAGTCAGCTACAAATCCCTGGAAATTATTGGCTTTAATAAGTAGAAGATTTGAGATTTAATTTTAGATTAAGCTTAAAGTGCTTAGATAAATCAGAGCTTGTGTTTTATCTCCTGTTCATATAATTAGAATTACAGAAAGATTTTTCTTTTCTTTTTCTTCTTTTTTTTTTAACATACATTTTTGTGCTTTTAATCAGAGGGAGACAGCATTCCTATTTGCTGGCTCAGTTCACAAATGCCTTTATCGCCTGGGGCTGGACCTAGGCTGAAACTAGAAGCTGAGAACCCTCTCTAGGACTCTCACCTGGTCTGACCAGGGCCTGTCTGCTCGAGCTGAGAACCCTCTCACCTGGTCTGACCAGGGCCCGTCTGCTTGAGCTGTTTACCTGTTGTGTCTAGGAGCCACATCAGCAGGAAGCTGGAATTGGGAGCCTTGGCCCGGAGTGCAATAACTCTGAAGCTCTCTGACGCAGACTGTGAGAGTCTTAACCATTAGGCTAAATGTCCCACCCAGAAAGTTTTCAATATGTTTAAAACCATTTTAGAGATGGCAAAGTTATAGCAAAAATTTTCTCAGAAATTGTTTGGTAGTAATCAAGAGAATTTATTTTTGGGAAAAGTATCACTTTGCATTTGTGTTGTCCAAATTGCCAGATAACTTCATAAAGTGAGATCCAGATCAGGCATCAGCAGGCTTTGGCCCATCACCCATCTCTAGCTCACAGCTTTTTCAGTGAAGTTGTGCTGGATGACAGCTGTGCTGTTCCAGATTGACCTGTGGCTTGTATTAGACTTCATGCTGCAGTGGCAGAGTTGAACAGCTGTGTCAGATATCATGCAATCTGAAAAGCCTTACGCATTTTCTATCTGGCCCTTTGTGAAAAGGTGTTCTAGAGTAAAGCAGGTGCCATTCTAGGTCCTTAAAACTTCATATTTTGTGTGATAAGAATCAAGTTCCTAATGGTTTTTATGTATTTCCAGAACGACAGAGGTGTGCCCTTTGGATCAGAAAACTGTGTGAGCCTTCAGGAACAGGCACGGGAATCATGGGCAGGAAGAATCGGAACCTGTACGCAAAGCTGCTGCTGCATATGCTCAAACAAGGAGTGCTTGAAGGTCCATTCACACACCGCCCTGAACCAGGCACTCTGCAGACTCTGCCCTCATACATGGTAGGTGTCAGAGACCAGAAGATCTATCAGTTTATTATCTCTTTTGGGGATGGTAATATTAAGTGATACGTGTGAGATAATAGGAAGGACCTTCAAAAAGTTTATGGAAATTGTTATGTTAAAAGTATGTTTGGATTTAAGTCTTTCTGTACTGGGGCAGGCGTGTGGCCTGACAGCTAAAAGGCGAGTTGAGTTAGGACATCTGTTTCCCTTATCAGAGTTCTTAGGCTTGTTCTGTGGCTCTGGCTCCAGCTTTGTGTTAATGTGGACCCTGGGAGGCAGTGGAGATGATTCCTGCTCCCAGCTGTGGCTACTGGGAGGTCTCAGGGACCAGCTAGTGAAGGGTCTCTACCTTTCAAATAATTTTAAAAAGAATTGCAAAAAAATAAACATTTTTAATTCCATTTTTAATGAACTTTTTGAAATACACTTGTTAAGAAAGTTAAATTTTTCTTTTCTCCATGATTAAACTTTTCTGCCTTCAGTTGGAAAAAAAAACCCCAGGGATTAGCCTATAAGGGGACTATTCTTACTGATTTATTCGTTGCTCAATATTTGATGATATTTTACAAAAGTACAAAGTGATTTTTTTCATAATTGGTCTAATTTTCACTCAAATAATATTACTATCATCTTTTTCTTCTCTACCTCTCAAATAAATTTTAAAAACCCGATTTTCAAACAGATTCTTACCTTGCCTATGGGATAATTTTATGTATTTCAGCAGATTCTAGCTTATTATACCTCTTTCATTTGCGTTATTATTTGAAATTTATTCGGAAGGCAGAGACACACCTGCACACACACACACACACACACACACACGCGCACACACACACACACACACACACACACACACACACACACACACACACACCCCCATGAATCAATCTTCCATCTGCTGAATCATTCCATAAATGCAGTGCTTCCAGTGGTTAGGGCTCGCCAGGCCAGAAAGAGGGGCTGGGAATTGAGCACAGGTGTCAATACCGGAGGGACCTGAGTAGTTGCTTCTCAGGATACAGGTTAGCCTGAAGTTAAGACTCAAATCAGGCTCTGCCATGTGGAATGTAGGCATCTCAAGTGGCAACTTAGTTGCTGCACCGAAAACCCACCCCATAAAAATGTTACTTTAAAACTCATTAGAATTTGGATTGAATGACCTATAAAAGTTCTTTTTTATACGAATGAAATTATAGTAGTAAGTTGGAGTTTTTCTATACCTCATCATTTTATTAATGAAATCCACTTTGTTGCTAAGGTAGTTTGTTGCTAAGGTTTGGTTGATAAGTTGTCACGTGGTTGGTCTGTACATTTGTGCACTAGAAGAATCTGAAGTGGTAGTTACTGGTTTGCTAAACAGGTGTGTGTGTGTGTGTGAGCCGCAAACTCACTGTCTGACATATTGCAAGATTGTTCTGCATTTTGTCAGTTAAAGCAAACTTTAGTCAGGTGGCATGGCGCACAGTAGAGAGTATTTCTTTGTTTTTAAAAAGAAAGATTATTTATTTGAAAGAAAGTGTTATGGAGAGAGTGTGAAAGACTGGTTCACTCCCCAAGTGACTGCAGCAACCTGGGTGGAGCCAGGCTAGACCTTGGAGCCTGGAGCTATAAGTCTGTCCCTGGTCTCTCACATGGGAGTAGGGGCCCAGACATTTAGGGTAGCATGCTATTAGCAGGAAGCTGGATGGGAAGTGGAGCAGCTAGTGTTCGAGCTGGTGCCAGTATGGGATGCTGGCATCGCAGGCGATGACTTTATCTATGTACCCCAATGCTGGCCCATGGCAGAGTGTCCGAAGTTGAAGTCCTGTCACTGTGTGTTGAAGGAGAGTCGTATTTTGCTTTAGGCCAGAGTCTTTAGGATAGTAGTTACTTGATGTTTGATTAGACATTGGAAGGAGTATGTCACTGGAAAGAAATGGTTGTGCATGTCTGACTTGGAGTAGAGGGCCATGGGTCATCCCTCTGGAGGGAATAACCTCTGGAGGATTTGCTTTGTGGGACTAGGGGAGTTGCAGAAATGTCCAGTTAGTGCAGTGTCCTTCAGAGATGAGCCTGGCTCATGTCAAGATAAATAAATGGGTGAATGACATCTTTTTTAATGACTGAAGATAGAACTTTCTGGAAAGCACACTTTAGCTGTTAGGTATGAGCATATGGTATTCTGTTTTTCCATTCACACTTGGTTTTATAAAATCTTGGGAAAAGACTTTAGTTTCTGAAAAAAAAAAGAAAGAAAAAGAAAAAGAAAAAGAAAAATAGGGTTTCCCAGTAGTAGTGTGGCCAAAACTAACTTCCAGATTTTTCAATCTGTTGTTCTCACTTTTTTAAGGGGTTATTAGCCTTACTTTCTGTTTGTATGGCTTATGATTTGTCTGCTTATTGATTTGTTTTTTGTGTGAAATATTGATCACAGAAATAGGATAGCATATGATTTAAAAAATCCTGTTCAACTTTTCAGTTGATGTCTTTTTTTATAATAAAATAATTCTCATTTTTATCTTATAGATTTTGTCAAATTTCATGTACCCCAGAGCAAAATTAAAATATAAATGTGATTCACTTTGTATATGAGTACTTCCTAATTGTATATTTGTGTAAAATACATTTTTATATATTTGTGTGTGGTTGAATTTTAGTAGAGTATTTAAGTTGAAACTCAATGAAAAATTTCAATGTTGAATTGTAATATATTTTAAAAGAATAATTTTTCTGATTTTTAAAAATCAGTCCATCTACTTTGATGAGCCAAATCCCGCACAAGTGAAAGATCCAAGCCCAGAACAATTGCCAGACTGGATAATGGGTGAGCTAGGTACCAGTGGACATAAGTTAAATGACTCATGGAAACTTGCCTCTGGAGATGACAAGGCCTTGGTGCAGTTGCCGGCTGATAGCCCCAGGTATGCTATAAAAAAGAGATTTTTGAGTGTATTTTGTTATTTAGCTTTTTTTTATACATATGTTTTGTTTTTCTTTTTGAAAATATTGTACAATTTGTTTCTTTAGAGTTTTGTTAGAATTGGGCAGACATTGAATGGATAAAATAAGTGTTGCTCTCCATTTATTGAATATTTAAGATATTTTACATTTTGAATGCCTTTATGGATATCCGCTAACTTCATGTACATATTTCCATTGCTTAGGAAGTGGTACCTGAGAATATTTAAATAAGTTAATTGTGTGTTTTCTTTTTGACAAGCATGAATTAAAACATAACCAGTGACTTCAGGGCAAGATAATATCCTGAATACCTATCTTGAAGCTTTTAATATTTGTTTTCCTTTTATAAAATAGCAAATATATACATAAACATCTTCAAATAATGGTTTCTTAGTAGGATATGAAGCTTAAATAGAATTTTTTAGTGCAAACAAGCTTCCAAGTTTCTGAAATATCCGAAAAGGCTATTATTGTTATACTATAATTTTTGGCCACGAGATGGATTATATTTAAGTTTAGAATTTTATTCTATTTTATTTATTTATTTTAAAACAATGTATTTTTCCCTTTGGCATTGTGCTCTGGAATGTTCAGATGTTGGATAGTGTCAATTAACAGATACCGTGATTTACACTTCACTATCTTGCATTCTCTTGGTGATTGCAATTTAGGAATTTGTTTTTGTTAACAATGCAATTGTTCTTGTCCACTGGTTTTTTTTTGTGTAGTGCTTGAACAGATAGGGAAATGTTATGAGTAATTTAAAATTTCTGCATAGTTGATAGAGTTTGACTGTGTTTTCTTTAGACCTGAGATATTATGGTGGAAAAGAACAGATGAATACAAAACAAAAGATCCAGTCCGTGTGAAACTAGCTCATTAGAAAGGGGAAGCTAATGCAAATGGGGAGACCAAAACAGAAGAGGTGATATGAAGAGTAAAAAGAAACAGACACACAAGTCCTTGGAAAGTGGGGTTAAATATTTTTATGTTCATTTAGAGGAAAATTAAAATGAGAAGGGGTAAATTGTACACCTTTTCTTATGAGGAAATTTGATCTGACTGCAAAAAGTATACAAAGAAAACTACACTTCTTAGTTTGACTCCAGAATTCATCAGCTATTTGCCAAGGTGTGCCTTAGGAGTCCAGTTAGATTCTGGTTCTTTCCAGGGGGAATGACTGTGGAGCTCACAGTGTAAAGGTGACTCACAGACTTCTGTGTTGGAGTTGAAACCAGAGATTGAAAATTGGATAACATCTTGGACAGAATGAATTATATGTATGTGTTTGTTTTGTTTGAATTACACAGAATCTTTAATAATTTTTGGATGAATTGGTCAAAACTAACAACTGGGAAATTTCATATAAAAATCCACATTTTTGGTTTTTCTTAAGAATTGGAAACCTCGCCATCTTTGCAGAAGACCCCGTAGACAGGAGACAAGTGCTCCTTGTTTACCTCCTCAGTGTAGTATTTCTTCACTGTTTCCTATGGTTGCATCTGTTACTGAACTTGAGCTTTCTTCCGCTATAAATGGGATTATGAGGCAAGTGAAATGCATGTTTTTCATAAAAAATGGAAAGAACAAAGACAGAAGAAGAGGGATGATAGGAATCATTTTAAAAATGAAGGATGTCTTTATATCTGACAGTGTAGGCAAGCTTTCGCTATTTAAGTCCCAGATCCCTTGATTTACGGATGATTTAGATGAATAGGGGACAGAGATAAGTACATGGATGGTTTCAGTGCACTGATTGTGCGTAGCTGTGGAAGTGTGCACAGATTAGATATACGTAAAGGCTTAGGATAGGAAATAGGCAGATTTGCAGAGAGAAAAGGAAAGTGAGGTCTTCTCTCTGCTGGTTCACTCCCCAAAGGCTGGGTCTGAAGTCAGGAACCAGGAGCTTCTGGATTTCCCGTGCAGGTACAAGAGCTCAAGGACTTGGGCCATCCTCTATTGCCCTCCTGATGAATGAAATTTTGTCTCCTTTTTTTTTTTGTTTTTGAAAATTATGTAGAATGAATAAAGCTCACGTTTCTCACGATACAGGTTTAGAAGTATAATGGTTCCTCACTCCTCCCCCTTCCTTCCTCCTTCCTTATCCCTTTCTCCACCTTAATTTCCTGCCAGATTATTACTGTCACATGGTGTCAATGACTGTCAATTCTTAACTCACTAACTTTTCTGGCAAAGAATCCATTGCAGCATTTCTGCAGTTGTAATCAATAACCCAATTCTCTTAGTGATTATAATTAAATGGTGTTTTAATTCAAAAATGATCTTTTTAGGAAGGATTAGTTATCAATTATATAGTAAGTAATTAATGGGAAGAGCTGGTCCTGCTTCATCTTACCCATCCTTCAGATCTCCGCTTCAAAGCAGCCACTCCTGGCCTCCCAGGGCAGGTTCAGCGACTTCTGCTGTACTGGGTTGATTTTTTGTTGCAGTCATCACATGCAGAAAGGATTTATGTCTGTGCTTACACTAGGCTATACATAAAATGAGATTAGAACTATTTTATTTTTGTCCCAATTGAGCTACATTTCCAGCCCCTCACACCAAATGAGAATGTGGTAGGGACTTTTTAAAGTTTTCCTTTTTGGAGAGTGCAGATATGAATGCGTGAGTGGAAGTGCCAGACCCTGGCTCATAGTTAATATAATTTGCACAGAAATCCTTTGAGACAGGTATATTGTCATGAAGGAAATGGCCCAGCAATATTTTTAAAGACTTCTGTGGGAAGTTGAAGGGAGCAGAAGTTGTGGAGGTGTTGAAGGAGTTGCTGACATAGGCTACAGTGATGACGTGTGCCTTCCCCGAGCAGCCAAAAGCAGCGGAAGGACCAGAAAGAGCAACTCAGACACCTGCTGGCCACGTGTCAGAGGGTCACAGAGGTGGATGGACACATTAGGGCTGCGAAAATGGAACTTGGGGGTGTCTTTTAATTTAATGATGTTTCGTTTAATTTATTTAAAATCTATTGTGTTTGAAATTTTCATACATAGGTATAATAAAAAACAGATGTATATAGTTTTTCATACATGGGGATCTTCTGAGATAAATTTTTAATATTAGAGGAAGCCGACTAGATTGATTTCGAGGCCACATGCGCACCATGTGGTAGCTGAGTTGCCCACTGATGGGTCTGTCTTGCCAGTTCCTTTCTAAACTTACTCCTTACTCCAGTGGTCATCCTGCACTACAGCAAAAGTCAGTGTCTGCTAATGTGACCTAATACATCTAATCAGTTCTGCAAGAAATTGTTCTTAAAAGTTTAAGAGGCTTATAATATTTGACACATGTATGTTTTTATAGTGAATAATTTATTGTTACTCAGAACTGAAGTTTAATGCTGCCTCATAAATTTTACAACCACTTCAACTTGTCCTTTGAAAAACCTCTTTAATCTTAAAAGATTTTCCCCCCTTAGTGTTTCTTTTTTGATCACTTTATAAAACCCTGCTTTACTTAGACCTTTTTGTATGTGAAGTATTTCTAATGGCATTTTAGATGATGCTGTTTGTGTCCTAGACTTTTTATCTTATTAAAGTTGCAGAGTCCTTTTGAAGCCTTTTTGTTTGGACTCCCGATTCAGTGGAGATGGCACTTCCCTTTACCTTGATTCTTCTGCAGGATCTGGTATGTGGCCTCTTTCCAAATGCTTAGAAGTGCTATGAGGTCATATTCTACCTGCCTGATTACCATGCTTGCTTTCTTCCACTGCACATACATTACACACTCTTGTACTTAGTGTTTCACACCAGAATTGGCTTTAATGCACAGCTAGTTCCATCCTGGTTCTCTTTTCCTTCCTTGCCATATCGTGCTTTTTGGTGTAAGGTCCTGTTGTTTTCTTGAAGAAGAACCAATGTTGCAGTTCACATTGCTGTTTTACTCTAGATCTGTTATTGCATTTTTAGGTCAAATACATGCCTGTTTTCTTGCCATTGAAATGCTTTAGTCATATGGCTTTGGAGCATGACTTTATCAAATGTTACTGTGTGGGCCATTGACTTATACCTCGCCCATGCATAGTTTGGTTAATCCAGTTGTACACTGCATGATCTTGGATGGTACATCACGACCTTTCTGATCATCTTCAGAGAACTGTGAGCTCTGGGAAGGAGCCTGTCTTTTTGGAAAGTCTACTTTAAAGTGGTCCATGGCGCTCCTCGTTCTGTTTTTTGTATAACTTTTGCCCCTTGAGCATGAGCAGGACCTTGTCGGGTTCATGGTGTGTGGATTATGGCAATGGTGGTGAGTGATCACTCATGACTGGATCGCATTGTGGGAGGCTCCATCTTGGCAGTACACTTGCTCTCAAGTCTTGCTGGCATCCTCTTGCCGACTCTGAATAAGGAGCTGCCATGAATCACAGTCTTAAGGAGCCATGGACACCCCGCAAAGCAGGGGAGCTTCCAGATGAGATCCTAGCCCTGGTCAAACTGTGATTAGAGCTGTGTGTGTCCCTAAGCAGAGGACTCAAGCCAGCTGTCCCTGTACTGCTGACCTACAGAAGCAGAGAGAACATATGTGTGTGTCATTTGAAGTTGCTAAGTTCATAATAATTTGTTATGCAGCAATGGTTGACTAGGACAGGCTCAGCCTTCACTTAGGACAGTTGTGCAATCTGTGTAATACATGCTTGTGAAAGCCTCAGTGTAGAAATACATAGAGTCGGGCCCGGTGCGGTGGCGCAAGTGGTTAAGTCCTCGCCTTGCATGCCCGGGATCCCATATGGGCGCCGGTTCTAATCCCGGCAGCCCCACTTCCCTTCCAGCTCCCTGCCTGTGGCCCGGGAAAGCAGTTGAGGACGGCCCAAAGCTTTGGGACCCTGCACCCGTGTGGGAGACCCGGAAGAGTCTCCTGGCTTCGGATCGGCATAGCATCGGCCGTTGCGCTCACTTGGGGAGTGAATCATCGGATGGAAGATCTTCCTCTCTGTCTCTCCTCTCTG